CTCAGTGAGTATTGACCACACATAAAGTTTCTTTCCAAAGAGTCTTTGTCCATAAACCTACAAATTTCTTTATTTAATACTCAGATTTTGACCTAAATTTTCCCTCTAAAATAACCAGTCTTGCTTTAACACTTGCTTTTCCCTCAACAAGTATGTAGTTTTATTACTCATATTTCTTCTTGCCAAAAACGCATATCTTACTTTCCTCACATAGAGTTGTTATTTCCAGTAGTCTTAATTACATTCCTTAAAATTCTTAATACTTAAAAACCTTAATTTCTAGTGAAAACTAGTGAGCAATTGTGAACTGTTACAACAGAACTCTTCAGATTGGCAAATTTATGAATCTGTTTCATTATTTTTAGAAACATGTATTTTTTATAATACAATCTTTCAGTAAAGCATAAAATATGTTTATTAACAGACCCAAATTCATCTTTAGTTTCTCTATAATAAAACAAAAGTAGATAAACATGTTCAGTACTTAATGTTTCATTATTTTATCTTATTCAGAAGAGATCTAGATTATCAACAAGCTTAACTTTACTCATCATTTGACTTAGCAAAACTATAAAATTTTAGCTTTCCAAAGACTTTGGAAGCTATTTACAAGTTTACCTACAAAACTTTTTATTTTATTTTATTCTACCCACAAAAACATCATGAGGCATTAGACAGAATCAACCATTATTCTAAGCTTTTTTCTTTCTGACAAATTTTGCAAGAGAAATACCCTGAACTTACCTGACTTTTAGTAAACAAAAGCAGAATAAAAATTTTATGTTTAATGGTGATAATTCTAAAAACATGTCCATTTTAATTAAACCAACAAACTTAATTTAGCTTTAATACCAAATATTTTCCCAGATTACATGAATTTTAAAAAGATTTGGATTAGTTTCTAGCTTTCTGGACGTTAGAATGCCCAATCTTTATAAGCATGTGCCTTCAAACAAACTAAATAGAGTTCTTCTACGTATTAATTATAGCAATACCATCCAAAGGTAGAGAAAATATCTCACGTTAAAACATACATGGACACACTCAAACCACAAAATACAGATAAGATATAAACAAAATTTGGATATTTGTGGAGAGGACATTATAGGCTCAATTTTTTTTTTTTAAGATTTATGTATTTATTTTAGAGAGATCAAGTGTTAGGAGGGGCAGAGGGAGACGGAGGGAGAGAATCTCAAACAGACTCCACACTGAGCTCAGAGCCCAATGCCAGACTCAAAATCACGACCCTGAGATCATGACCTGAGCTAAAATCAAGAGTCAGACACTTAACCAACTGAGCCACCCAGGCACCCCGAGGCCCAATTTTTAAAGAGTTCCATCTATCTAACTATCTACTTTTATGAAAAACCTTTCCCTAAAGTTTGCATGTCAAAAAGACTGGCTCCTGGATCGTAGAGAAGATGGAAGTAGAAAATTTATATCAAAATCAGAGGGGTGCCTGGGTGGCTCAGTCGTTAAGCGTCTGCCTTTGGCTCAGGTCATGATCCCAGGGTCCTGGATCGAGCCCCGCATCCCGCTCCCTACTCCCGCGGGGAGTCTGTTTCTCCCTCCCCCACTTCCCCACTCCCCCTGCTTGTGTTCCCTCTCTCACTATCTCTCTCAATGTCAAATAAATAAATAAAATCTTAAAAAAAAAAAAAAGGCAAAGAGAGTGTAAGTTTTCTCGAAGGTGCATATTTGGAGCATTTCTGCATGTTATTGTAGGTGCAGTAGTCTAGGCATAAAAGCCCTTACAGAAGTTTGCACTTTAAAAAGCCCTCTTTCTCCGCCCACCCTCACCTACTCCCCCACGCCCCCAGCCCCCCCCACCCCCTTTTCTTTTCTATTCTAAATTCAGTCTCAGGAGATTGTGGGATGTGTTTACATTTCAAAGACATGATAAGATTTATAATTTCAAGGGACAGAGAAAGAAAGCAAAGACATTTTTCCCTAGAGTTTCAGGGTAATTGCTATTTAGAAACTTACTCCCCCCCCTTTTAAAATCCAGAACAATTTTGTTCCAATATCCTATTTTTTTAAATAATATCCACAAATATTTTGAAAGGAATATGCAAGGTTTGGAGATTGGTAAAGATAGGAGGGCTTTAACTTGTTTCTAGAGTTGTAGAGATTTTTTATAGAGATTTGTAAAATAAGGACAGAAGAACTGGATTATAGTCTGAATATCAAGGGATTGGCCCATCTTTTTAACTGAATTTGCTTCTTTATATCACAGAAAATTTTAACTAGAAGGGAAACCAAAATATTTATACCTTTGTAAAGTCTATCTAAAGCATTTTAACAAAAGCCTTCTTTTTCTGGGTACACAATTTAAACTTGGCTTCTTTTAGCTCTTAAATATTGGCATTTTGCAAATCATTTATAGGATGGCCTAGGTGATATTTTGGTTATATATTTCCTCAGAAGGCAAAGTTGTGAATATAGTCAAATAATCTTTCTAATTCCTCTCTAAATTTGGTAGGATCTTTTGAAAGTAGAGGTAAAGGGGCTTTATAATTTAAAAGCTCTGCTGTTGTGCAGGGAGACACGATTTTGTTGTTGTGTTATGCGTGCGGGGAGGGCAGGGAGGGCAGTGGTTCTAGGATACTCCTGCAAAGGGCATTGTATAGGAATGCTTGAGGCTTGGCAGAAGCTGACTACAGAGCCCAGGCAGGCAGGAGCAAAGCGACCCTTATTGCTAGTCTCCTGCTGCTTTTGTTAAACTCTTTTTCTGGCTTTCAGCATTTACCTGAGCAACCTATATACTTTGAACCTAGAGATTAGGCCAGAGTGATCTCTGTAGATCTTGTAGGAAAGAGGAATTAAAATAGGCAGATGCAGCCAAATTTTAATGAGAATTTACATTGGTTGTGGACATTTCTTTTTGTCTTGTGTCTGATTTCTGTTCTTTTATCTTGTCAATGGAGTCCCTAAGGTGAGCCATTATAAAACAACTGAGAGCTCCTTATAATATATATATATAATATATATATATTAAATACAGCCAATTTAAAGGACCCATTGTAAAAATAAATAAAGGATCCATTGTGTCACCATTGATAAGTAGGATCTATTAATAGTGATTTAAACCAATAAGCCTTTTAATGGCTTAACCAAAGACACAGTAGGTGTCCAGAGAGGGCACAGATGATTCAGCCCACACCCTCCACCATTCCAAAATTTTACTTATGAAATTGGTCTAAGAAAGCAAAAGCTTTCATTGCACAGATGGTAAGGATGGTATAATGAATGTCTCTGGTGTCGCACGAAAACGTGACACATCTCCAGTCACACACCCACTAATCTGTGATACCAGGTGGGCGCTTCTGGAATGGGACTTTCCAGCACCAACAAGCAAGGAATGTTGAAACAACAAAGATTCCTATGGGCTGGAACCTCTCATGACAAGCACCCTGAGAGGTGACACAGCTGGACAGAGAGAAAATCTGATCCCCAATCTATTAGACTGGCCATCAAAGTGCACCCTGGTAAGTGCACCCTCCAGATGGTGGAGACCAAAGAGAATATTCACATTAGTCAAAAGCCAAGCTCTTAGGACATAGAACAAGACAAAAAGAAAATATTAACAGATTTAAGCCTTGGGTCTCCTGGAACCACACTGATACCCAGGAGGTATTTGCTGTGGGGTTGGGACTGCGTGTTGTTTTATAGTGCACTAACTTCACGGAAGTTTACTTGAGGTTGGGGGTGACCTAGTGTCAATATAACCCTTTCCGTGGCCAGCGTATCCTATCTTGGGAGTCTTCCTGAGCTAGCCAGCTCTCTAACAGCTTTCAAGTGCTCAACCCATGCCCACAAATTATGGGGCATTGGCTTCCAAGAAGTCCCTTAGCAACAGACCACAAAAAACACAGAAGACGCAAAGGAAAACAGAGAACATATATGGGAGAAAAAGAATCAGTTAGTTACTAAAGAGTACTCCACCAAATTAAGCAGAGTCACTTAGCCCAAGGAACTAGTTCCACAAATATTTTCTCCTGCTAATCTAAATTTAGAAAGAGAGAAAAGAACTCTCACCACACTTGCTCCATCAGATTCCACAGAGATTGGAAGAGGCTGACAGGGTAAATCTTACCTGCTGCCAGCTATGTGGCAGATGTCCCAGGGTCTCTAAGCTGCTGCAGTGTCTGGGGCAAGCAGTATCCACTGAGTTAAAGTATCCTGCCAACTATGCCAACTGTTGGGGAGCAAGCATTTCTGTCCCCTCAAAGCTCCTTGAAGCTTGACATTGAAAAATTAACGAGAGAAAACCAACTTTATACTGTACATACGGGGAATCCACAAAGACATGGGAATTCCCAAGACAAACAAAATGAGGTGTATATATATGTGATTCTAAACTAGGGGAAGGAGGGTGGGAGTTTGAGATTTCAGAGGAAAAGAATGGACGTCATATGGCAAAGAGAAGAGCTGATGTTTGGTAATTAGATGACTGCCCTGCCATAGAGATGGGTCACTCAGAGAAAATTTATCTCTGTTAGTAATCCTTATTCAGAGAAGACCCCCCCCAAATTTAGATTCTTCTCTATGGTTAAGAGAGGGATAAAAATTTCTTGAGTCCGCAGGGTGTCAAGTGCCTTCAACTCAAAATAACGCACATGCTAAAGAGGCACATTGAAAGGGCAGGGGCCGGTCCTGAATCACTACAATATAAAATAAACTGAACATGTTATACACCAGGATACCTCCCTGGCATTTCAAAACACAAGAGAACGTAATTTCTAATATTGAAAATTAATCCACAAATTAATCCGCATTGCTATTACTAATCAGAACTTCTTTTCATAAAAACTTCAACTAGACTAAAGCCTCCAGGCTGATCTGGGGAAACTGCTCTCAGGCTATGACCAATGGGAGAGTAGAGCTCGAGCCAATCATGAGCCTGCAGGCCACACCACTAGTCGACGAATCAGCGGTCGCAAAGCGCATTCCTCATTTGCATAGGGTTGCCTACAAATAGGCAGGACCCGGAGGCGGACTCCATTTTCTGTTCTGCCAGAAGAAAGCGCAGTCAGGATGCCCGAGCCCGCCAAGTCGGCTCCGGCCCCGAAGAAGGGCTCCAAGAAGGCGGTGACCAAGGCGCAGAAGAAGGACGGCAAGAAGCGCAAGCGCAGCCGCAAGGAGAGCTACTCGGTGTACGTGTACAAGGTGCTGAAGCAGGTGCACCCCGACACGGGCATCTCGTCCAAGGCCATGGGCATCATGAACTCGTTCGTCAACGACATCTTCGAGCGCATCGCGGGCGAGGCGTCCCGCCTGGCGCATTACAACAAGCGCTCGACCATCACGTCGCGGGAGATCCAGACGGCCGTGCGCCTGCTGCTGCCCGGGGAGCTGGCCAAGCACGCCGTGTCCGAGGGCACCAAGGCCGTCACCAAGTACACCAGCTCCAAGTGAGCTTGCTAAGTAAGCCCCTTGTGATCCCAACCCCAAAGGCTCTTTTCAGAGCCACATAATTGCACCAGCAGAGCTGCGCACTGCCGCGCGCTGCGGCCTGGGCTTGGCGTTCACTCAGGTTAGTGGGGAGACACTGGGGACTCGATCGCCCGTCGCCTGTTCTCGGGGGTGACGCTCCCTGCCTGTGGCTCTGACAGCCGTGACCGGTGCGTGGCGAGGGCCCCAGCCGCGGGAACGAACGCGCACCGGGCCGGCTAGCGCTCACTCCCCCAGCCCGCGGGGCTCCTGCTCCCCTTCCCGAACGTTTCCTCGGGCGCGCTGGCTGCAGGCGCCGACTCTAGAAGCTCCTAAAACGGCCGCGGAGTGTCCGGGCTCCGCCTTTTGTCGAGTGTCCCCCCTACGGAGTGTACGCAGCCACCGTGACATTTGAAAAGCCCGCCGGCGAAAAGCGGGACTTTGTGTTCCGGTGCCGCCAGGCTCGCGCCCCGGGTTCTTTGTGTCGCTCCGATCCTCCCCTCCCCCTCGCCCGCCCCCTTCCCGGGGCCGTTAGAGTCCTGGCTGAGCGTCTGTTACGGTCTTTAAAATGTGTGTTGGCGGCTGCAGCTCTCCGGGAAGGACACTGAGGTTCTTACCACTTTTTCATCGTGCCTTGTCGCTTTCCTTCTTAAGCTGCCCTGAAAAGGCGATCGTCACTACACTTGATTGTTAGTGAAGAATGCATTCGTCTCCCCCTCTCCCGCCTGACTCGCAGATGACCCGCCACAGTCTCCTCCCGCCTCAGTGATCTCCCAGAGACCTCTCCAGCCTCCAGGCCTTTGCAAATATTCTCTTCCTGAAATGCCCAATTCCATCTTTATCCCCAACACACAGTTTTCTGAAATCAACAACTCACTTTTCAGCTCAATCAAAACGTTATTGGGGAAGCTGATCTGCACTGTTAAAGACTCTCAGAGCCACAAAGAACTGGCTGTATTCCCAGCCCCAAACTAATCATTACTAAGAGGCTGGGACCCTCAGGACTAGTGTGGTAGAATCAAGACCTGATCCCTGAGACTAGAGAGAAAGTCGGCCTTCCCTGGAGCACAAGGCAACGAGGAGGGGGAGACTGGAACGAAACTGAGGCTCTTTGGAAGAAGGAGGGGAAGTGGCCCTCCCTGCCTGATACCCAGGCCTTCTAGGCAGAAAGGAGCATCCATCTGGTTCATTCATACTCAAGTGCCAAGCACGGAATCATGTCCTGAGGATACGGAGTAGTGCTTCTGAGTGTGCATCAAAATCACCTGGAGGCTTGTTAGAGGACAGCTTGCTGGCCCCACTCCCAGGGTTGCTGTCTCATCAGCTCTGGGGAAAATCTGGGAACTTGGCTTTCTAACAAGTTCCCACAGATACAAATGCTGCTTCTGGCTACTAAGCTTTGAGAACGTCTGATACGTGGAGAACAAGCTAACCAAAGCCCCTTCCTATGTGGACGTTTCTCTCTGGTGGTAAAGATGAGGTTATGGGATATGAGGAAAGCAAAGCCAGGCGCACCTGGGCCGCTCAGTCGGTTAAGTGTCTGCCTTCGTCTCAGGTCATGATCTCAGGGCCCTGGGATGGAGCCCCGCTTCGGGCTCCCTGCTCAGCAGGAAGTCTGCTTTGCCCTCTCTCTCTGCACCCCCCCACTCCCTCTCTAATAAATAAATAAAATCATTTTTAAAAAATGAAGAAAGAAAAATCAGAGGACAGTTGAAGCAATGCCTTTTTTGTCAAATACTGATGATTTCTTCTGTGTGAGGCATTAAGCTAGAGCAGTAAGCATGACAGACAAGAGACTGCTCTCAGGGGCTGAGATCCTAGTGGGAGAAGAGAGATCATAGACACACTGATTCCTCAACTCCATCATTTCAAATAGGAGTTCTCACTGCTATGAAATTATTTGAACTAAAACAGGTGCCCTGATGCTGACTAGGTGATGCTCCTGATGAGGGAACCAACGACCCTCATTTGGGGATACAAATTCCAGGCCAAGGGACTGATGGTACAACAAAGCTCTAGGGCAGGGAGGAGTTTGTGCTCAAGGTTGGAAGTGCTGTGAGTTGGAAGCCTTGTAAGCAAAGGTAAGGTGTTAAGTAAGAGACAGGGCTGGGGGTTAAATGGATGCCTGAACATGTTGGACCTTATGGGCCAAAGAAGGCATCCAGATTTTTATTGTGTCCTGAGAAACTCTTAGAATTTGAAAGCACTCAGGCTGCTGTGTGGAAAATGGTATTTGTGGGATTAAAGATAAAAACAAGCAGAAGAAAGAATGGAAAGGTTATTGCAATAATCCTGGTGAAATTATTATAAGTCCTCTGGGAAGAGAAAGTCCAAAGAATTTCTTTATGAACCGGGTTTCATGGGTGAAGAGACATGTAGCTGACATTTATTGAGCATTTTACATGTGTTTAAGAGATTGTGCCAAACTCTTTCCAAAGGCTACTCACTTCGTCCTGTCAACATCCACAGTATCTAGACACAACTATTTTGTCTTCTAGTTGACTAGGGATGAGCAAGGTGTGGAGCTGAGGCTAAAGCCAGACAATGTGTCTCCAGGTTGTATGCCTACCCACACCTTACAAGCGCTGCTGAAATTCTTGGATGAATGATGCAGAATAATAGGACAGGATGAGGTTTCAGAGGCTGGGACATGACAATGTTTAAATCCCCTTAAGCATTCCATCGGAGGGTCAAGTGCGTTATCGTACATGTAAGTCTGGAAATCAGAACAACTTGGGGACTGAACATAGAAATTTTGGAGAGTTTGAAAATAGAAATTTTATTGTTGGCACACATTGAAACAGGCATTTACCCATGCAGAAAGAATAAGGAAGCGCTCCAAACTTTAGAGAGAGAAAGAAGGCAGCCAAATAGGAAGAAAACCAGGGGAGTAGAGTCACAGAAGTCAAGAAAATAGTGTTTCAGGAAGGAGATCGCAGACAGCCTGCTGTGATGGCTATTGAGATGAGAACAGACAGTGACCTTTGCATATGGTAAATGGATCTCTCTGGAAAATCTGATTATAAGTAATAAAGAATAACCCAGATTTGGGGGACAGCTTCAGGAGTATTCCCTCTTACCTGAGCTCGAAGTGTCCCCACTACGTTGTTCCCCTTCTCTTGGGTCATCATGTATGATCGATGGTGGCGTCTCCCCAGCTGGATCAATTAGATTTGCTTTCCTAGAAACTAGGAAAAGCAACAGAACAGAAAGTCCTGCCTGCTCGGGAATTTTGTAAGGGTGGTAGGAGAACGTTTCCTTCAAGAGAGTTTATTTTGTTTAAATAATCTGGAATTGAGTTTTTATGAATAGATCCACAAAACGTTCATTAATTCACTTGGAACTTCTCAGGGATATATGTAAACTCATGCTATGGTCCCATTACTTATCCTCCATTGTCTCACTCAGTGACACAAAAAAATATTAAATTATCCTCACATTACCTATGAGGGAAGAGTGGTTAGTGATTTGTCACAGACGACAAAGATAGAAAATGACAGTTCAAGACTTTAAGAGTATGTCTTCATGGGTTAAAAGTCCCCTTCTTTTTTTTCTGGGCCTCTCTAATTTCATGAAGAATAACAATAATAGTAACAGTAATAATAATAAAAGAGAAAACATAGAGAGTTTACCATGTGCCACGCACTGGACAAAATGCTTTGATTTTATTCAGCCCAAACCCATAAGGTAGATACTACTGTTATCCCCATTTTACAGACGAGAAAACAGAGACACAGGCAGGCCAAGTGACCTGAACAAAGACAACACAAACACAAAGACTAAGCATCCTTCTGTACAAGGTTTCCAGTTTCTTTTTTTATCTCTAAGGGGATATTGGGAACTTGTAAACTTAATCTATGATTTGCTCAATGACATAGACTATTACATACTTAGAACTTGTTAGTATATTTACCAAGACTGGTGATGGAAGACAAGTTCGATGGGCCTGTAGAAAAACTCACGGACTTATTCCTGAATCAGGCTGAAAATAAACCTCTCACTGTTTTTATTTACCTCCAAATCATGTGAGATTGAGTCAGTTTGGACTTTCAAGCTTTAACTTTAAGACAGTTATTCCTGTCACACAGGACAGATCCACTGTGATTAATCCAGCTCTGAGGGGGCAACTCTCCTCCTCCTGATCAATCCAGGACTCTTTTTCCTTCAAGTCATCGTTTTGCTGTCCCCTAAGACCTGATGTCTGCTAGATCAAACAAGATCACCTTCTTAATTGGTGTGAAAAGTGAAGAAGGTTTTAAAGCCCAGACCTGGGAGTGACTTCTGCTGACTTTTCTTGGAGATCTTAGGCTCATTCTTACCTCTGCTGCCCCATAAAGCCAGGACATGTTGCCTAAGGGTAGAAAGCCATCTGCCCAGCTACGCCTTTATTATGTTCAAGTGCACAAATTTTTATGGAAAAAGGCCAGTCTACACCACAATGAACCCCTAAGATGCTTCACAAAACCAAACACATTAGGATGACACATTAGGATGACCCCAAAGTACTAAGCGGGCGGTCTCTGCCATGTTTACAGTACCGAAGAACAAGAAAGGGGTAACTCACTTGAGGACTGCTACCTTAATTTCTCACTGCTGATGCGTAAAGGAGGGATTTGAATCCTGAAGGCCTGGGTTTGAAAGGACAGATCAGTAAGCATGTGCTGCATGCAGACAATAGGGCCCTCCCTTTAACTGAAAGGAAGTGACCTATTAAGTCTAAGATTGAGACAATAAGCCCAGACACTTGTTAAAATATAAACCCTTGGGCGCCTGGGTGGCTCAGTTGGTTAAGTGACTGCCTTCGGCTCAGGTCATGATCCTGGAGTCCCTGGATCGAGTCCCAATTCGGGCTCCCTGCTCAGCCGGGGGTCTGCTTCTTCCTCTGACCCTCCCCCCTCTCATGTGCTCTCTAATAAATAAATAAATAAAAATCTTTAAAAAAAATATATAAACCCTTATAATGACATTTGTCCCAAGTACATTAAAATTTCTCAGAATCTTTAAAAGTACTGGATGGAACGCAGTTGAGAGAGGCAAACATGCCATCTCCCCCATACCACCTCTCACCAAACTGATGAGCATAAAGCATCAAATTTGAAGATGTAGGGGCCGTTGACTATGACAACATAAAAACAAGTCAACAAAAACAATGTAACTTGCAAATTAGGAACAGTACCAACACCAACGCCAGAATAAAATGAAACATACAAAAAAGTGACCAACTCTTTGGCGACTAGATAGGTGGCCCTGAAAAGGGCCTTTGGTTGAGAATCGCGGTGTTCCGGTGGGGAGATGCGGACGCTCAGCCCCCGAAGCCGTAGAGGGTGCGGCCCTGGCGCTTGAGCGCGTAGACCACGTCCATGGCCGTGACCGTCTTGCGCTTGGCGTGCTCCGTGTAGGTGACGGCGTCCCGGATCACGTTCTCCAGGAACACCTTGAGCACCCCGCGGGTCTCCTCGTAGATGAGGCCGGAGATGCGCTTGACGCCGCCGCGCCGGGCCAGCCGCCGGATGGCGGGCTTGGTGATGCCCTGGATGTTGTCGCGCAGCACCTTGCGGTGGCGCTTGGCGCCGCCCTTGCCCAGGCCCTTCCCGCCCTTGCCGCGGCCAGACATGGCGAACTACAGTCTCCGAAACCGGCCAGGCACTGCGGGCCGCGGCGCCACTCAGCCCTTTTGTAGCAACGAGACGGACCTGTTTGAAAACCGCGAGCAAAGGGGCGGTAACCACCCCCAGTTCCCGCCCATTGCCTCGTCCTCCTTTGCTCGGCGCTCTGCGCACCCGGCAGGCGGGGCGCCCGAAGCAATAGTCCGTCCCGGGGCGGGGCGGGGAGTCATCCCCCAAATCCTCCCGTAGAGTCGTCCGCGCAGCGTGTGCTTGCAACCCCCGCAGCCACTACGCGGGGCACCCACGCGCACGCTTTCCGCAAAGAAGCCTCCCGCTGTCCTTCCCATCTCCCGGACAACCCCAGAAGTCTCTAGTTACTACTCGCCGTTGTCCCTAGGAGACGCTGGAAATAAACTGAAGCTAATCATAGCTCTGTTGCTAAGTTTCCCTGTGTCTTACCGAGAGATCGATGTCTGGTTCCCTAAGGAAGGCTCGCGGGGATGCAGCCCTAAGGGGGGGACTCAGTATAACGTTCAGCGTTTCAAAGCCAAAGCAGGTCCAACCCCACTGAAGGCTGCGCTGAACGTTGGTAAATGCGTGGGTCCCAAAGTGATGAGAACCGTGCTCTGCTGTGAGTCTCACGTTGGTGCTTTGAGCGTGTGCTTAGTTACGCACAGCTCAGGGCCCGCGCGGTTTCCGCCGCCGCGTTCTATGCCGCAGCCGTCCGCAGAGCCTAGAGCCAAGCTCTGGGGACAGCCAGCGGCCTGGCCGGCCCTATGACCTTGGGCAGTCTGGACTCGGGTTTTTCTTTTCAAATGTACAAGAAAGCCTAAGTTACAGAGCACTGGAGTTTAAAAGGGATAATCCATGTAAAGTCTTTACTCTCTGCAAATAAACACTCGCTCAACATTATGCTCTCAGCTCCTCCCCTCAGTAGTCACCCCTCTAAACTGCTGAGCCTAACAGAGCATCCT